CAAAAAAAAAGAAACAAAAAATAAACAAACAGTACAGAAAACTGATAATGTACGTCGACTCTTTTTAGCGATATGTTAATGGCATAAAAACATGTAATGTTATACGAAGCATGGAAGTGTTAAACGACTAACAGAGTTAGAGCGTTACATACCAACTAATCAATAATAAATTCAGTGTACATAATGTAAAGAAAGATAAATAGCATAAATTTAATGACTCATCGAAAAAAAGTTTTGTTTTTGTAATTTTATCATTCGAGAGCTCATCAAAGATAAATGATTTCCTTTCGCCATCCGAGCGTTCTTCGCCATTGTACATATATTTCATTCGGAAGGTTCGAAGACGTCTTTGGTGAGCTATTATACTTTTATCTTTCCTCCAATTAGTTCTTATTCAAGCTCGTCATGTATGCCTTTTTCAGTACAAGTGTTCATTGACTAACGTTTTTTCTTACTGCCGATTTTTTCTTACCACCAGTTGCATGTTGTCGATTAATTGTATCAATATGGTGTGGCTTGTAAACTTTTCTTTGCTCTAAGTTTCTATATACGTGTTCTTTGAGTTTGTGTTGTACATCATCCAGCAGTACGTGTCAACTTACTGTCTACTTTTGCTATGTACTATTTAACCTCCACACACATTTTTGACATTACTCTTTCGTTGTATAAACATGTGTTTCACACAGCTCCACTCCACTTTGATCCCCCATAGGCGTCCGTGTCGATACGGGGCATGAATATTTGATATAATGAACGTATCTTTGCGTACCGATCAAAAACAAGTATCATCCGGATACACGAAACTCAAAGCGGATATAGATACGATAAATTATTTATCGCTGTAACCAGATCTCTGTAAAACCTGCTGTATGGTAGTATACTGTAAATACGTTGCCTATGTATTTCTAATTTTCTCGAGAGAAGAAGATTCTTTTCCGCGACGATTCTGTTCCACGTACGGTTTTCCTTTTTACGGCTTTCAAATAGAATTCCGCATCAGTTTCAGAAGCACACATTACGAACGCTTTTTTTGTAGCTGCTTTACAAGCATTAAAGTAGCTCCCTTTTCGAGAACATTAGTCAGCGACCTAGTGATGCTGATGCAAGACCGATTACCACCGAAGAGAATTGATTGCAATGTTCCTTTACGATCGTTCACTTTCGAGAAAGTTTTACAATCACGATCGATTCAGTACAAGACGTATTATAAACGAAATCCAAATGTAATTAATATATAGTTGTCCATCTGTTTCTTTCCTTGGTCGTTTGTGAAAACGTTTTAGACTTATTCTCTAGATACTCTGAGATTCGCTTCTATATCGAACAATTAAAATATTGTACTTTATGTATATACATACATACATATATATATATATACTATGTTCACTTTAGCAAGATAGTGTTTCGAAGGTATGAATGGTCCACTGATTGGCTTAGCCGATCCCTAGTGATTGTAATTTTCTTCCCATAGGAAATTACAATGCGCTCACAGCAACGTAGTCTCTAGTCTTGTTACTCTGCCTATTATTTAGTATTTGTATGTTTCCTTTTTGGCTGATTTTATAGCAAACAAAACAACGTGACCAACAACCTGTTAGACCTAACGGAATTCGACTCTCTCAGTAATAGCAGTAGTGGCCCAATACTCCAACTGACCAGCAATCTGGCCAACGAAGACACCCTCAACTCGAACCTAAACCCAGCAGCTATACCCTTCACTCCAATGGCCAACACATACATGCCCACTGCTGCTAATGCCAATGTAAATCCGTTCCAGGATTCTTTTATAAACAACAAACCGCAAGATAATAGTCAAGTACCAGGTATGTCTATGCGTTACTGTACCGATACCGGCGACTGATAGTTTGTAATCTTATTTATATCGGTGCAGGCTAAATCGCGGAAAACGGAACACCTGAATATCGCTTATCTTCAAAAAAGAAAAAGAAAATATCGATAAACTTCGAATAACTTTTAAATAAATGTTTGTATTATTTCATACGGCTGTCGAATCGAAATTACACTTCGACAAGTGTAATTTTTACCGAAGTATTTAAGTGTTCTATTTCCTAGGATTCACCCTGTATATGATCATGTAACTTCAATTACGTATGTAAATGTAACACGATATTCTTGGTCTACAGATCTTTTATCATAATGCGCATATTAAAACATTCTGGTGAAACGGAGGAAGAACAGAGTTTGGATTCGAAACAAAGAATACCGTGTTGCTTCCAGCAAGCGATACAGGTACACGGAATAATAATAATAAGAATAATAATAATAAGAATAATAACAACGTTCGAAACGACGTCATTTAAGAGATAATGTAAATAAGCGCTATCGATGTGTAGAAACGGAGATCTAAGTAGAGAAAATCGGGGCACTACGTCGAATCAATGAGAAAGACTACCGATGTCCTTTAAACGTTGTCACGAGAATTGTAAAATAATATATAATGTTAATTAATAATATTATGCAACCAGTAAATAGGCACTCAGTCCGTTATAGTATGCTGTTAGGATATACGAATCGAATGTTTCTGGAGGGCCTTTCAATGGGAAAGCATGGCCTGTTTTCGAACGTGAATTATCATTTGACGTACACACATACTTACACGCGTAAAGATTTTCATTGTATCTGGGGA